AGGGAGGGAGGGAGGGAGGGAGGGAGCGTGACTGAAGTGTGAAAGCACGATATGAAGTAGAGTAGCCATGATTTTTTTTAAATGTGTTTTCTCTTGTGTTGTTTTTTCTTTTATTTACTTTTGTACCTATTTACGATCGAAACCTTTTAAGACGATCTATTCTGAGTATTCATTGTTTAAGACAGGTGACCAGTTTCACATAGTAATTAAAATGTTTTTAAAAATATTAAACAAGGGAAGAAATAGGAGGGGCCTTGTTCACAAGAGATTGTCTTATGAAGTTATCGTTATCTGTTGGAGCAGATTCGACTTTATTTATAAATTATTCATTGAATCATTCATTCATTCATTCATTCGTGTATATGTATGTATGCTTTTTCTTTCTTTTTTAAAAATATTGTTTATTTGTCTGTTTATTATTTATTTATTTATTCATTTATGTATTTATTGGGAGGATGGGAAAGGAGGATGAAATACCGGAAAAGGAGGATCACGGCAATTTACTCATCTGAATCTCCGCAAGGTGTTGGGGCCTACGCACATGACGGATGATACAGATCAACATGATTAATTCCTTGACGTCATAGTGATCAGCTTTGAAAAACTAATGAGAGACTGAACCCCAGATTTTACAGATTAAATCTCAATCATTATTGCTGTTTTCGAACTTAATGCAAATTATTGTAATCCTGAACTAGGGACTACGTGAGCTCACAGTCACTATTGTCTCCTCACCCCCTCCCACACTGCTTGCTTACCTGGGCGATAACGCCCACATTTGAAGTGGGCGATTTGGTAATGTTGGTGGGTGGTGGGGATCACCCAGGAAGTGACAGACAGCTGTTTGTTTTATAACGCCCTGTTCAGGACATGATTTTATACACAATGACATGCATGTTAGACAGATGGGACGAACATTTTAGCCTCCTTAATTAAGGTGGTAAAGCGAGGTTTTGGTTGGTATAAAAATGTTAACAAGCACTGCCCTACCCTTATATATTATTATGGCTTTGTCTATTTAATATTAGAAGAAAAGAACAGACAGTCTGCACAATATGTATAAATGAGTATAAAGTTTTTACCCGAATAGATTATAACCTATTTATCATTATTTTATTACTATTGTTGCAATTATTAGTTGTAGTAGATCTAGTATCATTATATTATTGTTATTGTTGTTATTGTTGTCGTTTTAAATATATAGACAAGAATATTAGGCACAAGCACAACCCAAGAATAAAAGTCAACTAAAAATCTAATCAGCATTTTCAACGGTGTGTCAATAATTTTGGTACCTCTAACTATACATTTATGTACAAGAGTTCTACATTAATAACACCATACTATCCTTACCTCTGGTAGTATGCATTATCTTGTACCGAAGACATTATTTCGTCGTGGTTATTCCTTACTTGCACCTCCAGGAATACTGCTTTCCATTCCTGACCTCGTCAGAATCTTGTCATCACGAGAAACAGCCCTGACGTCATCATCCTTTGTCCCGAACGCTCCCAGACCCTTAGTATCCTCCATAATGGTGAAGTGGACGTTGCAGACGAGTAGATCACGTGATTAAATCCGAAAAGAAACCATACGGGCAATTCACAAACCCTTCTTCTGTCCCTCGATGGCTTGTGGGGCCTACAATAAAAATAAAAAAAGTCACTGCAAGTGAAAGGCTTAGTTTGACTAAAAATTAAAAAACGCCACTGGCATTTTTTTTTTTTTAACTTGCATAGGCCTTCTTAGTACTAATCTACGATTGGGTGCTAAGAAAAGGGAATCTTAGGCCCACAAATAAATGGCAAACCTTTCATTTTTTCACTTTGAAGTTTTGCTAGTTTTAGCATCTCTCACGCCCACACTCACTAGTCATCTTTCGCGTTTACCTTCTCTCGTTCAGTAAGCCCCCACGCACACGAGGAACATTTCCCCTCCTCGCACGGTTGTGAAGTGTGACGTCAGTTGTGCCGTATGCTGACAAAACGCCTCTTTTTTTATTCACACCAGTTTCGAAAAATCGACGAATTTTGGCTTTCATATTATAATACCTAAACTATGTTGCACAGTACATCGACGGTTGATCTCACACCCTGAAGAGAATGTCATTCCCTATGCTCAGCAGACACAATACGATAAGAAAACCGAAAATCGTTGATTTCTCGAAACTGCTGTGAATTTAAAGAAAGGCGTTTTGTCAGCTTAGGGCAGAGTTGGTGGTATAGAGAAACAAACGGGGGGAAAAAAGCGGCCATTTGCACGGATTTCTACAGGCAGCCGTGCTTCGAGTGGAAATTGTCTTCGAGTGCGCGGGACTTAACAGTTACAGTTCGAACCCTCTCACTCTTATGGTGATACCATGTACGACCTTTTACTGTCAAAACTCAGTCATGGTGATGCATGATGTACTGTACATTGTTCTACCTTTCCCTTCCATCTTGTCACTCAGTCTACTCTGGCATGGTGATACACGTAATACAGTCTCTCACTTCCACCCTCTCACTATGCCATGGTAACAGCTTCAATCTTTCACTTTCACTTTCTTCACCCTCTCGTTCAGTCAAGGTGATATTTTCTCCTTTCACTTCCATCTTGTCACTCAGTCTACCCTGGAAAGGTGATGCACGTATTAGCCTCTCACTTCCACCTTCTCACTTCGCCATGGTGATGATAGCTTCAATCTTTCACTTTTATCCTCTCGTTTTGTCAAGGTGATGAGTTTCCACCTTTCCCTCCCATCTTCTCACTCAGTCAACTCAGTGTCTGGCATGGTGATACACATAATCTCATTTCCACTCTCTCACTCTCACTATGCCATGGTGGATAGTTATAGTTATAATCTTTCACATTCACCCTCTCCTGTTAAGGTGATGATAGTTTCTATCTTTCAAATTTCCATCTTCTCAGGTCAGTCAGTCTCTGGCATGGTGATACAATCTCTCATTTCCACTCTCTCACTATGCCATGGTGATAGTTATAAAATCTTTCCCTTTCACCCTCTCCTGTCAAGGTGATGATAGTTTCTACCGTTCATTTCCATCTTCTTAAATCAGTTTCTGGCATGGTGATGCATGATATATGTATTTCAATATATCTCATTTCCACCCTCTAACTATGCCATGGTGATAGCACTGATATTTCACGTTCACACTTCACACCTAGCATCTATAAAAAAAAAGTGGTACATGTAAAGTTCCACTACTTTCGCTTTCCAACTTTCACTTCACTTTCACCTTCTCGTTCTGTCAATGGTATGGTGATACATGAAATTTCAGTCTTTTCATTTCCACCCTCTCACTCAGTCTTAAGCGTGGTGATGGTTTCAAACTCTCACGTCCATCTTTTCACTGTCACAAACAGCCTTCCACTTTCACCATCTCACTATGGCATGGTGATGACAGTTCTAACATACTTCACTTTCAACCCCTGGCTCTACCACGGTGACAGTTTCGACCCGGTCATCTCCCCACCCTACTGAGCTGACAGTTGTAACGAGTGACTGTCCTACAGTTCACCTTTTCGGTTAGTTTACTCTTTCACCTTCCATCTCGTCCTTACCGTGTCACCTTTCACCCACCATCATCATCCACGTCACATGTACTCAACACCTTACTCACAGAACAGATTTTGCGATAATTGCACTTGGTCACTAAATAAAAATAGACAAAATTCACCCCCCCCCCCTCCTTTGGTACTGTCTTTCGCCTTTCAATCCACATAAACTTTCAGATGATGACTCTCGATTGTTTGTAACAAATTAAAGTCTTCATTTTTGATGAACTCTTGCAATTTCTCATCAACATGCTTGCAACACTTTATATTATCTCACGTCTTGGGAGTTAAGACAAGAGAGGGCCCTCTGGACCTCTCTACTTTATCTATCCACTTGATTTAAATGTCGTTTGAGTTTGACAGGACTAAAAAAAAGCCCACATTCTGCAGTTTAAGTACATGGACTGATAATATCAATTGGCTTTGAATTGTCATTTCCGTAATATTGGCGTGTATATATGTGGTATAGCAGTTACGTGTTTTACCAAGAGTCAGACAATCCAAGTTCAATTCCCGGGGTGTATTTACATTGAGTTCAGAATCTTGGTCTTTCTGCATTGTGTCCCTCAGCCTCTCGGCCCAGGTTGGCCGTAACAGGCAGTCGTAGCCCGCCTCTTAATTAAATAATTGTGTTGATGGGGGTGTAGCATACACTACATTTAATGGAAAAGTATCACTTTTGTTCTATACTTGATGCCTCACAAAACAAGAAATTGTCTCAAATCTCAGACTTGATTCTCTCATGTCGTAGAAGACCTCTCCACTCACTCCATACCAACACTCAACACTTCGCTCTTGGGCAAACAAGGTCACACGGACCAACCGACGTACACATCCACAACCAACTTTAAACTGTTCTTAATAATAACAACAGGACTTACACTGGGCTTTTTCTATGCCTCTGTTGACTGTGTCAGACACCCTCAGAGTGCAGACTCCAGGTCTTTCCAGAGGCCCAAAGTGTCCATCCAATCAGGATCAAAGAGACACTTCAGCTCACCAGACCAGACCAAAGAGACCGCTGCATGCATGAGCCCAGAGTATAAACAACCTTTGAGAAGTTCAAAGTTTGAAACACATACAGATGATAAGCATAAGGCTAGAGAAAACACAAAAGGCATGTTTTAAAATATTGTAGTATTATTTTCATTTATTTTTCTTTTCATAATCTTAGACTATTTTCTTCCAAGATGCTCGTTTCATAGAAAATATTCATATCATTTGTAATACATGTATTATTCCACGAGGTACAGTCGTAAATGGTGGTGATAATGATGGCGATGGCGATGATGAAAATGATAATGATGAATAGAAAATAAGATAAAAACTGGCATGTAACTAATGATAAACAAAGAAAAAAGGAAGAAAGTTGCCTGAGCCACAGAGTTTGTTTAAATAGATCGTCTGGATAGACAGAACAATATGTATAGCCACCTAGGGGGGAAAGTACTTGCCCCATAGAACATTATGTCATAATGCTTTATTGCAGTCATCAATGACCATCGTCTCAGAAAGTTTGCAGACACATTTTGGAAAGTGTTGGCAAACAAAATGTCAGCACATTAAAATTTGACTTTTCATACAGGCGTTTCAGCCCTCGTCAAAAAAAAAAAAATCTCTGTAAATGTAAAGCTGAAATTTACACAGCTTTGTATTCGGTCAGGGGGAACTTTTGGTTAAAAAAAAAAAAAAAATGGAAGACCATGTCGGGCACAATAAATAACTGAATTTTTTCAACAGTGTTAGAATTTCTTTGAAACAGTGTTAGGATTTCTTTGGGCAGAATAACATAGAGCAAGAGAGAAAGCTATAAATGAAGCAGTCACGGCAGATAAGCGTAGGTATATGGTGTGCAATATTAGTCAACAAGCAAGCATAGGACAGGGCAGAAAGTTACGAGTGACAAATCATTCGAACTTTCTGAAGAAGACGGTGCAAGCACAACAAAAATAGCAGAGATCAACACTACGAGCTACTTAGTCAGGTGTTAGCTACTTAACAGATTGTGAAATCTAAAATCATTTTTTTTTTAAGATGACAAACACTTCTTATTTGGTGCAAGTCTACAAAAAAAAAAAGAAAGAAAAAAAAAAAGAAGTTTCCACACACAAAAAAAGTATTAGATGATTACAACAGGTAACTACAGAATACCAGTATAAATTTCTGATCTATAAGCAACCGATATTCGACTACCAGTTGTACTATCACACAAGATTAGGTTAAAAAAAACCCTACAAACAAACAATTTCATTACTGCAAACAGAGAAAGAGGCGAACACTGCATTGAGAGCGGTGACAGCTGTCTCCAGGTATCGGTGGGTCTCAAAGGACGCCGCATGGTCCCTGTATTAGCAGCAAACATTTAATAAAATGTTCCACTGTTAAGAGACCTGAGCTGTTTCACTCGCGAGTGTACAAATGATCTTCTGCTCTTTGTTTCCAAGCGGTGGCTGCACAGGTGGCAGGCCTGTGAGGTTCATGCTTCATGCTTATGCATGCAAAGCGGAAGACAGATGGGTGGATTGATAAACAAAGTAATCAGGCAAAGGCAGAGAATGACTGAGACAGACAGAGACAGTTTGGGGTGAGGGAACAGATGGATGGGGTGTATGAACATGCCAATGGCATATAAAAAGGAAGTTAATGTGGACGGGGTCCTAGAATTAATCACAAAAGGTATATCATCAGATTTGGTTAATCTTTCTTACCAAGACAGATTGACAGAGAAAGAGAAAAACAAATAGCATGCCAGGGATAGAATGAAAGTAGGGTGAAGTAAAAGAAACGGCGTGCGTGCCTACGAAACTAAAATTAACAAAATGATAGAAAAGAAGCTGGCGCACAACAAAATGAAAACCAAAGTCCAACACGAAAAGATCACAGACTATGCAAAGTTTCAGATAATATACAGCGAGATATGTACAGCCTTCATGACTCTTGCCATTGTGGTGGCGTTCTACAACACCAGAATATGCAATGACCTCTCTTTCGAGAGGACAGAATGGAGAAGCATCAAACTGCTTCAACAAAGTGAAGCCTAGGTATGATGAACTTGGTGATGGTAAAAATGACATGATCCTTCAAATGAAAGCATGGACGATGAAAATGTGAAAAATGGCCGATTGTGAATAGGTCGATGAAATTGATATAATGTTTTCCTTCTGCGAGTGAAAAGGAAAGTTGGCAGTGACAGAGCAAGTGAAGGGTGGGATATGAAACAGGCACAATAGGAGCCGAGTCAAGTCAGCAGATACATGCAAAAACTTTGGTAGAAAAATTTTCGTTTTGGTAGAATTAGAGAAATGTGACTGTCAACAACATCTTTGTTCATCAAACAACAGGGGCCTAAATGTAAACTTACAGAATGTGATTAAGTTAATGACTCCTTTACAAAAAGCCCTGAAAACTTCCAGCTAGTCATTTCATTTGGAAAAGTAGTCTGCTTTCTATGCTTTCATAGGCTGAACAATCAAATGTGGATCAAAATTTGTAACTTAAAGTTGAAATGAAAATAAAATAAACAAAACTCACGACACAATGAATGGATGAAGAGTAATGTTTTGGTCCAAAACCATGAGTGAAACTTGACCAAGTCAACAGGGAAACTTGACAATGTGATGACTAGCATGTGTGATAGTAACGCAGACCCCTTCATCAGGGGCTTCATCCTTGTTACTGATCAGACATGCTAGGAGTTCAATGATTCTTTGAACAAGCTGCCATATGAAGAAGTGGGCTATTGTTTTCAAGTAAGAATGCTAATATGATTCATCAACAAACATTCAATCTGAAAGACTTGATTCATCTCCAACGAGAGACGTTTTGTGTTGTTGTCGTCCTATGTACAAGAACGTGGAACTGCAACAAGTTTTCATAAAAATTCTTCAAGTCAACAAGGCACAGACACAAATGTCTGTCCACAAAACAGAACAAGGTAACAAACTTACAAAGGGGGGGGCCACTGACAAAAAGAGAAATGAAAACACCTTGAAACAATTTAGACAGAAAGTAGGCACACTTTAAAGATTTTCTTTGATTCACAAGTAAGACTGAGAGAATGAGTGTTAACTTCTCAGTTTCTCCAAAAAGTGAGGGACAACTCAATTTTTCCTAATTTTTAATCCGTAACACTTAAATTTTTAAATTAAGGAAACTAGTCAAAGGTGAACACAGATAGAAACTTCAGAAAACTACTAAATTGACAAATTTAAAGAAAAGAAAAAGCTGTTGGGAAGGGTTGGTTGAGTGGGAACCAAGCACAGTAAGTTTAAACCATGGGGGGGAACAAACATTATGACGTGGCCAGAGGCCGAAACACAGCAACTGTGGAGGTCATTTCTGCTGGAAGCCCTGCAGGCAACAACAAACCATCGAGTCAACAGTAACAAGAGACACCTGGCAACAACTATAAGATCCACATCAGAACTGACTTCTGTCAATTTACAGGTAAGAGTACTGAGCACTCTTTTCTTCTGCTCGATTCAAGAACACAACTTTCTGATAGAGTGGGAAATATCAACAGGGGAAACAGAACAACATGAGGGTTGTTCTTCATTATTATGCTATCACCACAGCTACCTTCCTCTAAGAGAGAGGACACATCCCCAAAACATTTCAAAATATCACATTCATTCATTTTCAACATGGCATTAATTATACCAACAAGAAAATTTGAATTGATTGCTCTATAAATGAAAGAAGTTTCTATAAAAATTTTAAACAGTGAAAAAGAGAAGAATTCAGTCTGCAACAGACTACAGTATCAACAAGTATGCGAACAAACATTTCTCTTTGATCAGCTCTCTTTAGAAGTTTTGATATCACAAGTTCAACAGAGTTTTACATATGCATACTCCACATACCACAGATTTTTTCTTTTTACTCACACATACACACAGAGACACTCCACACTCAATTTACATCACTATATTACTGGCACTCCAGATAATATTATTTATGCTGTACAAGAGTCCCCAAATATTTACAGTACTCGTTCACTACTCAACAAAGTAACAGACGGAGGGCAGCAACAAGATGTGGAGGGGGGAGGGGGGTTGGGGTCAGGGGCTTTGGACAAATGGCACCATCAAGGCAAACCATCAAATGGGACTGCAGTTGCTGCTAGTCGGACTCAGTTTCTCAGAATCGCTCGTGAGGATCTCGTCTCCGGAATCCGCTCCCTTCTCCCCATTCAGATCTTTCTCAAAGTCCAGAAGCTGTCCCATGAAGGTGAAGTTTGGCGAAATATTGGGCTTGCAGTGTTTCACATGGTCATAGGCTCGATTCAGCGACATGCTCTGCCGGCTCATCAGATAGGCGACAGTCACCGTCACTGAGCGGCTGATACCCGCGAGGCAGTGGACCAGGACTCCTTTCTTGTTGTTGCGTGCTTCGTCTGAGGGAGACACAAACAAAATTCCACTCTCAAAACAATTGCTTAAAACAAGGTAGAATAAGACCATAAACATGCATGCTGTTAATAGTCTCCCTTCCAGAGATACAAAGATAAAGGGCATTATTATAATTTAATAAGACCATGAACACAAACACCGTTAATGTCCCCATTCCATAGATATAAAAATATTTCCCTTGATACATGCAAGACGAATGATATAACAAGGGATAACAAAGGACAAAAACAGTGGGTTGCTCTCCATGTTAATTCCATGCCAGGTGATCATGCCACGTCGTCATGAGATCACGGCTGTTGCCATCTCTGGGAACTGCACTAGGACTCTCAACAACTTTTTTTAGTGTGTTAATTCGGGATAATGATTATAGCAGGGACCTTCACCTTCATCATGCTTCCACCATAACCACTTTCATATTTTCAGAAAAGGGTAACATTCACCAAACACACATGCCAACACAATTACATTAATGTTAATGCCACAAAACACAACTTTTTTGTGCATTGGAAATCAGTTTTGAAAACAAAAAAACCCACTTCATGCATTTTTACAAAGCATACCAAAAACAATTACACGATTGTGTAATTACATTCTTGTCGCTTTTAATTTAAAAAAACAAATAAAACCAAACTGTAAGTAAGTATAACACTACAAACTCTCGATCAAATATAAAGCAACTAATGGGTCTGCAGAGAGACCGATGCACCCCCACCCCCCAC